TCCGCGAGGAGAAGGAGAAGAAGCTCGGCTTCTGCATGTAACTTGTGGCTGAAGCGGATGGCATCTGCCAGCCACGTGACAAACACAGCAATGTCCTGGGGCTCGTGTCTATGCGCTTGAAGTGTGACGGCCTGTGGGTTGTAGACAGGGTCACGTGGCGATGCGGGGTTGTGGGCAACCTTACGGTCATGGTATGTCCCATTGATGAAAAGGCCCCACAACCAGTATGTAGGATTCAGGCCTTCCTAGAATCTCCTCCCATACTGCTGAGGAAGATGGAGGCAATGGTGGAAGAGCTCGCACGGAAGACGGAAGATATGGCTCTGCAGAAGCTGGCTTACGAACATGAGGCGGAATGGGGCATGGCAGTTGGTAGGAGTGTCAGCTGGAAAGCTTTGGGGTCCTCAGGGTTTAGGGCGGCATCGCTATGGAGGATCTTTTGTTCACGCGGCCCAAGCATGGATGGGCAAGCAGAACTAATTGGGCTAGCATGGTTAGCTGCAGAATGGATAACTTTCCACTTGTTCTAGACCATTCCGGGTGTGCTGCAATTTTCTTTCGCATGAAGTTCAACCTACATCTCTACGGGTGGGCCCTTTGTGCAGCAGCAGCAGCTGCAGGTTCTGGAGTCGGAGAAGAAAGCAGAAGCTGCACCCAGCTCATGAATGGAAAGACTGTTCTGATTGCTGATGGAGCTATTGTAACGAGTATATCTGATTAAAGCAGTAATCGTACTCATCATTTTCATAGGACTAGTATTAGTTCTAGTACTTTGTCTCAAAGATTCGCTTCCTATGCTGGGGATCCTGTATGGATTCTACAGAGAGCGTAGCAGCGTAGATTCTCAACTCAGCCGACTTGGGACCAGTGTGACATCTGAGAAGGACATCTGAGAGAGTGAGAGCACATGTATCTGAACACAGGTATTTGTATGATAGCCTTGGGGTATCTCACGGTCCCCAACCCCAAGTGGAAAAGAGGCGAGAGAAGTTGTGTTTAGATCTATGCGGGGGTCTTGGCACAATCCGGATGCAACAGCAACCCAGGAAATCTGGCGGAGGAAGAAGGGTTCTGGCCTCGAGGACTTGTTGATGTTACCCATGGATGGAAAATGCATGAAGCATGAAATAGAAACTTGGGCCGTATATTATGTACACAGGGTAGATGTGGAAGATGGTGCCCCAGCTTATGTTTCCTCAGAGCAAAACAGCCTCCAAGCTGAACGCACCTTGAGCATTGCGGCTGCGTACCTCCCCATGGTGGATCACTGTCCGGAGTTAGAGCCCCTCCCCTTCCACGCAATAAGAACTCCTCTTAATTCAAGTTTGTGTTCTAAGGAATTCCCAAAGTTGAAGCACCCGGACAGTTGTGTGTCTCTCGTGGAAATGGTCGCGAGTATAACTCCTGCCTAGCTACACCTTCTGTTTTCCTGTGGTCTCCTCACAAGCGACCTCTTTTCAAGAGCCTATATCCCCAACAAGGAGCCCCCTAATCTTACCCTCTATCATCTCTAGCAGCTGCTGCAAATGTCCTGCAATTACATCTTATCCTTCTGAACTCAGAGGTGTCTTGCTGCAGAACAGGATACAGCCCCAAGGAGATCCCCACAAGCCTGTTGGCCGGGGCTGTCTCCTACATTACATTCCTTTCAGGGTTCCTTTACAGGCTATTGCACACCTCCCCCAAAGGAGTACCTGGAGAAGGCCTCCAAAGAGCTCGCAGCCCTAGAAGCCGAGGTTGGCTTCAAGGGGTCGGTGGGTGTGGGGTTTGGGAGAGTAGGGGTTCTGAGTTGTAGGGTTTAGGGCTCATGTTGTGAAAATGAAGGTGCCATTGGATACGGAGTTGGATCCTGTTGTCCTATCGGGACTCGCAGAGCTCAACCCTGGTTGTGACTGACACTTTGGGCCCAAGTCTGGTTGGCTGGAGCGTTGAGGCTTGGGGTCTTAAGGCGTAAAAGCCAAGGGTTCAACGATACGCTGTCTCGCTTTGAACGCGTCGCTGTCATTTCAGCTTAGACACCCAGTGCCCCCAGCAACTCAAGTGTTGAGGATTCGTGCCTACGCGGATTCCTGACACGATGCCGAAGAAAAAGCCATGCATTAGTGGTCTTGCGGTATGATGACTTCGGCTGTTTCGATGGGGCTGCCTTTTTCCAAACCCATGTGGAGGTGGTGACTGATAAATCTACTGTCCCTTGGAGATATTTGGCAGCTGCCCATGCACAGGAATCCCGTATTTGTAGTGGTATGCCATATTGGGCTGCGTGAGGAGCAGGAGTTGAACAGCACGGCGAGATCACTGCAGGCTGGTCGCTGCATGTCCCCTAGATTGCTTTGGGGATTGAATCGGATGCAACAATAGCCGTGACGCTCACCACGTGCAAGAAATCTTACTTCAGACATGGAATTCCTCTCACTCAGCGTTGGCAATATGAAAGGGGCGGTGCGCTTTGACGACATATTTGAAGCGTCCCAGCCATGCACATCCTCAGTCTCAGAAGGCTTTGTTCAGCGCCATGATTTCCTGACCTGAGCTTTGACGCTCAGGGGAAGATCGATGCGCAGCGACAAGCCATCGAAACTGCGAAGCTTCGAAATGCAAAAGCTTCCGAGGCTCTGCGGAGTATTTGCTGTTGTTTGCATGATGTCCCGATTGGCGACTGGCGTGCTGCAAGCTATAATACAGTTAGTTATTCATGATGTATTGCCTTGATTCAATAAACTCGTAGCAACCTATGTAGCAAGCCCTTGCAGGCAACACCCCAGCCCGCTCCTCAACCCCAGAGTCCCGCAGCAATACTGTCGATACTAAAAATCCTGCATGACCTTAATATACTATAACTACCCGTATTCCCAAGCTTTAGGGTACTTAGGGTCATGCATGACGTTTTAGTACTCACCGTATCTCATCTCTCTGTTCCATGTCAGGTAGCAGACCAAACTTGGCGGCGCTGCAGATCGCTGGAGCTACGTTTAGAGGCCAGGAGCTTGGGGTAACTAGGGAGAACCTACTTTCTGAGACTTGTTGAGGGTTGCTACTGGGTCATGGCGAGGTAACTAAGCTGATGGGTCCTTAAAGTTGCTACGTAGGTAAATACAGCATGTGGCTCATTCCTTCAAACATAGATCCTCTTCGCGTACGTTCAATAGCTTGGCTCCTAGCATTGTAGACCGCATCCTCCTGAACATGTCTAATTGCAGGTGCTGCAACATGGGCGAGCAAGGGCTTATCAGCTTGGGCGGAGGGGCTTAGGATGCGACTTCTGAACTTCCCCTGCAGGTTTGCACGTGTTTTTCGAGTCTGGGGGGGAGCTTTAAAGAGTGCAGTAGAACTTAGCATATGCTTACCGTAGCTGCTCAACTAACCTACCTGAGAATGCAAGAATTGTGCCGAAGCACTGAAAAGCCTTATGGCCCCGACTGCTTAATCCTACTCCAAAAGACATTTGGCAGTTTCCCTAGATAGGGGTACCCCAACATAGACCCCCCACATACTATAGTCCTGATTATGGGGACACCCCCATATACCCCTATATAACCCTATATACCCCTATATAACCTTATATAACCCTATATACCCCTATATAAACCTTATATAACCCTATATACCCCTATATACACCTTATATAACCCTATATACCCCTATATAACCCCTAGTTCAAGGAGAGCGAAGCTGAAGCCGTCCGATCGGCCAGGCAAGAGCAGGCCGGTCGTTTGGAGTAGTAATGTAAATCACGTTATGTTGCAACTAGGATGGCCCCTACTTGTGGGTACTTAGGCCTAAGAGGGTAGTCGGCGGGTCTAGGTACAAGGCACCTATTGTCGCAGCGCGTTCCCGCGAGCCTCAAGCCCTGGAAGCTCCTGGCTCCAGGGGAAACAAAGGGCCAAGCAGCATTGTGCTTCCTAGCTGGACAGGACAGGATGAGCCACAGTCTAAACTCTTTCAAGGCGGCTATGTAGGGGATACTATAAGGGAGTATTATAGGGGTTACTAAGGGGGTTACTACAAGTTTAGACTATAGCTCAGATGTCCTTTCCGTTCGGAATCTAGTCGAAGTTGGTCTGCGATTTCTACTTACCTGGAGTAGTCATGAGCAGGGCCAAAATGGCGTGGGTGTCGGAAAATCTCCGCGGTGAACTTGCCGGAATGCTCGTGGCAATCCGTCCTTGCCCCTCCTCTACCCTGACGGTCTGAAAGACCCCACCCTGGACCTTGTAGTTTTGACTCCATACACCATAATTCATTGTCCTAGACTTTCAACCTCAAAGCCCGAAGCCCTACACGAAAGAAAACAAACCCTAACAGTGAAGACTTCTGCCTTCTGGCAAGGCCCTGGAGACTGCGTTGCACTCTGAGGAGTCCTCGGCGAAAGCCTTGGCCAGGGAGAGTGCGCACCTGGAGGCCCAGGCTTTAGACTGGTCCTGGCTTAGGTAGGGTTTAGGGTTTAAGGATTAGATAGTGCTTCAATTAGCTGCCCATTGATCGGCAGGCAGGAGTAAGGGCGTCCTCTAGAGTCGCTCCCCAAAAAGATAGGGCTTCAAGTTCAGAGGGCTCAGTGGGGATTAATTTGGGTTTGACAAAGACCTCAGCTTACATGGTCCTATCCCGGGTAGGCACTTTACAGGAGATGTTGCGGGAATGTGTTGGCAGCTGAAATCCAGGTTCAATTGATTCTAGCGACTTTCTGCAGGCACGCGCTGGTGTTAGGATCATGAGGGGGAATAGTTCCAGCTAGTCATGTTTCAAAGCAATGTGTTTGCATAGTCTGCGCTGACACTCCAAGCAGCGCAGGAAGCGTTCAAAGCCTTCAAGTCGAAGGCCTTCAAGTCTTCGAGCCAGATTCAGGAGGCTGCCCCAGCTTGGGTCTGATTCCATGCATCTCATGTTCCCTCTGCATACTCTGAAAGCTGTCCCCTTCAGGAAAGCTTGACTGCAGCAGCTGCCTCAGGCTCCAGGATCCGGTAGCTGTAGCTCCACCAACCTCACTTGGGCTTTTTGTGATGGCGGCCATGCGCGGCATTGCAGCAACTGTGTTTGGCGCGGCGCTTGCAAACTTGATGCCAGTCCTCTTCTTGCAGGCTGGCATGAGTAGCGTGTCCGCCAAGTGGGCATGGATGACCAGCCCACCAAAGTGTGCCTCCGCCGAGCCCAGCACATGGGACTTCGACGGCATGGCCACCATCGCCGCCGGTGAGACGGGCACCATCAAGTGCAAGAATGGAGGGAACGCATCAGTCGCTACCGTCGCCTGTCCCTCCAGCAATTCAGCAGCCACCCAACCTTCTCAGGATCCGGATTGGTGGGGCCCTTGCGGCTTCGGGGACTCCTGTGTGACCGACATGAGCATCGGCTCCGACGTCACCTGCACTGGCGGCACTTCGACTGGCAGTGCTGGTCAGGCTGTGGTCTCTGCAGCTTCGCTGATTCTGAGCGCGGCAGCCTTCCTGTGAGCAGGGCAAAAGCCATTCTTGCTCATGCAGGGGGCTTTTACATCAGCTTCGCAAGTTTGCAGAGTCGCGAGCCTAGCTCAAGAAAGCTTCAAGCCAAGTTAGACAGTTGTGCGAGGCCGCACCTCTGCGATTCTGCAAGCTTTCGGGAACTCAGCGCTCCTGGCATGCGGGCCTAAGCGCCAAGCGCCATCAGTGTGCCCTCCATAGCCCCTCCATCTTTCTAGACTCGCTTACGCAACGGTAGGTTTCAGATTCCATTCCAAAACGGTTCAAGGATCGAGCAAGACCAGAAGGGGGAGCTTTGGCCACTCAAATCCCGCTAGCTTCGCGGCTGCTGTTGGCTGCTGTCGTTTGCGTTCTTGCAATGAGTCGAGTTGAGTTGGAAGAGCCAAGTACTGGCATCTAGTATTTGCTAGCAGGAGGAAGGACTGTTGAAAGGAACGGGATAGATTCGATAGCGCTAATTAGGAGGACTGCTAGTAGTACCTGGGGGCATTAAGGTTTGGTGGTATCAGCTTTAAAGGCAATAATTTCTTGGAAGCACAAATCATGGGGCTTACGCAGGAGCCTTAAAGCCAATTCCTGATGGTAGCACGGTGTTTGCTACGGGCATTATGTGCCTTCGCTGGGCTTTTCTTGCACTTTATGTATGTTTGCGCAGCTTTTTGTGAAATTGGTGAAGAAGCTAGACTCACGTATGTTTCGCCAATGCTCCAGAGTCTGCCCTGCCAGAATCGAACGTTGAATTCCACGTTGTCTTCAGCAGCCACTGAGCTGTTACCGCCAATCAGCCCATGCCTGCAACATGCAGTGCACTAATTTTTTGTGCCAGGCGCCCGCAACAGCTGTTGGTCCAAATACCTGTCTCAGGGATGGCTACAATGGACAGCACTTCTAAACTTTCAAATGCTTGTGCAAGGGCCGGAAGTGTAGGGTGCCATAGCGTGGATTCCCATGCTATCCCAGGCTCCCTATTCCCTGGCAGTGGTCCAGTGTGCTTCTCACGGTCCAGAGTCAAAGAGCTCTGGGCATCTTGAGGACATACCCATTTCTGCAGCAGTTCCAGGGCAGCTAATCTGCTAATCTGTTGCTCGTTACCTTGTAAGCCTTTGTACGCAGGGTTGTACAATCCGTCAGTAACCCGAGGTCGAGGTGGGTAGCGTGTTTGGGCTACGGAAGCTGATTTTGCAGGTGTGGAACTCCCTTGAATTTGTGTTCCTATTGTTTTGCTTGGAGCCCACAGACACGGGCACAACATGACAGGGAGCCACTTTAAGATGCAGACGAGCTCCTGTGGAACTTGCAGCGCAACACGATTTGTAACATGATGGACCTCTTGCTTGTCGCAGCTGAGCAGTGACTGCACACGCAAAACAGCAACTAGCAGAACATTTCTTATCCAAGCATCACTCCGTGTTACCCCACCGTCTGAGGGCCTCAGGGCTGCTCAACTGACTTGTGCCGTAGTCTATTGGACCACGGCACATGCAAAGCAATTAAGGTAGGCAATGCTCGAAGACAAGTAAAGGAAGGTGTTAGAAGCATCCTCATGGTTTCGGCACTGTGGCCTTTGTGGCCTTGTGCATGTTTGCTTGGCATCACCTTTTCGTAGAATAGCTAGAATGGTCTAGCTATGTCTAGCTATGTATACTGGCCTCACATTTGCGTTCACCCACAAGAGGGTTGAACTTGTGACGTGCTTTTTCAAGGGCCTGGACAGTCAAAGACCCAAGCTTTAGACCCCACCCCATCACCCTCAACAATGTCGAGTCTTCTTGAGTCTTTAGTACCACGGGCACGCAGTTGTTGGAAGAGCATTGTTGGATTGGGGTTGGGGATTGATTGTCTCTTCTCCCAGAAGGCTACGAAATTTTAGGGATGCGCTACTAGACGCACATTAGAATATACAGCCCGACCTTCATGTGTAGTTATGTGCGGGGCACTTTCCCGCATGTTAACCTTCCCGCTGCTCCCTCAGGTCTTCTTGCTGGCCGTTGCTTGTTTGGGTCATTTCATCATGGCAGGTAGCCAGGTTGCACGCCGCGCTGTAGCAGAAGGCTTGACTGGCTCCAGGACCTGGTGCTGTAGCTCCACCAACCTCACTTGGGCTTTTTGTGATGGCGGTCATGCGCGGCATTGCAGCCACCGTGTTTGGCGCGGCGCTTGCGAACTTGATGCCAGTCTTCTTCTTGCAGGCTGGCATGAGTAGCGTGTCCGCCAAGTGGGCATGGATGACCAGCCCACCAAAGTGTGCCTCCGCCGAGCCCAGCACATGGGACTTCGACGGCATGGCCACCATCGCCGCCGGTGAGACGGGCACCATCAAGTGCAAGAATGGAGGAAACGCATCCGAGGGCACGGTGTCCTGCCCCTCCTCCAACGAGAATGCGACCTCACCCTCCGAGGATCCGGAATGGTGGGGTCCCTGTGGCTTCGGAGCATCCTGTCAGGTCGACAAGGCCATCGGTGACAACATCACCTGCACTGGAGGCACGACAGCGGATGTTGGTGGAAGCCCCCAACAAGCAGTCGTCTCCGCGGCTTCCATCCTTTTGGGTGTGGTGGCTTGCCAGTGAGCCTGAAAAGCGAGGGCAGGGCCTTCTTTTCCCAGGTGAGCTTGCTTGACTGGAGATACGCTTGGACGGTACAGGTGGTTTCCCCTCAGTACACATGGACCTGCCATGCATAGCCTGTCCATCTCGACAACCAAAGGCCCAGCCGTTTTCCCTCCACGCTTTTCTCTTTGTTTGAGCTTCCAGGGTGTAGAACACCAGAGGTGTATGGGAATGTCGGAAAGGATATTCGCAGTGGATGGAATTTGCTGTGTGTGTGTATGAGTCTCCTCGACACGTTACGTGTGTTTTGGGGGTTCCCAGGTGAGATTAGCTTCGCTTTTCGGAGCCTTTCTTTCAGCCCTTCTTTCCATAGGCTTAGATAGAATACGGGGTAGATGGGGATTTTATCATGATGTTGGGGAAGTCCATAGTCTATTTGTATAAAGGGGACTATAAACTTAAAGCCTTGGTCTTGCAAGCTTGCAGAACCTTTTCGTGGGCTCAGCTGCCGCAGGGAAGTAGCCTCGATAGACACCTTGCAAAATGGTTGACAGGAACAGGGATTGCAATGACATGCAACGAGAGCAGGAAGACAGATGTTGAGCTCTGCGGCGAATTTTCTGCAACTTGCCACGCTCCTCTCGTAGCCTTGAATTCTCTAACTCCTCCAGCATCCGACAAATCCTTCGGATCAGGAGTCAGCAACTAGGGCTTCCCAATACAAGTGACAGATGTAACGTATATGTAGATAGGCATTCTCAAGCATAAGATTCCCTGCCCAGGCATCTAAGATGAAATTCATACTTTAAGGGCGCATCTCTACAGGGCAGAGGCTCGTGTTTCGCTGCATAATATCATAGCTAGGCCATGGATTGGACCTACTTTTCATCACCATGCCAACTCCCTAGGTGCTACATGCACGTAGCTGCTTCGGTGTCATGCCTAAGTAAGCAAGCAGACTCTGAAAGCGAGGGGTGCTTAGTGCTGCCTGGCAGTTTCAAAAAATGTTGGTGGCAGTCTGTCGAAATTCTTGGCGCGCCTATGGCACAGGCATTCGATAGTGCTGTGCTTAACGTAATGCACGGTTCGTACTGTCGAGCTTCGAAGGAAAGATGGGAGGTAGATTCTTACTATAGTAATAGAGGACTTCTCACGAAAGCATGTCCAGCTTTTCGGCATCCTTGCAGTGAGTGAGAAGTGTCAGAGTTCACCGCCTTTCTGGTACCAAATCTTTTTTTTTACTTCAGCCCTTACTCGAGGCACTTGCTCAGAAAACTTTCCAATCTCGAGAATTCTGTGGTTTTGTCCGACGACAGTAGTGTTGAGTTGTCCCGATGTCTGCAACAGATGCGCTCGGACTCGCAATTTTGGATGAACTATCTACAAAATCCTATGCTCTAAGGTTCCGAAGGTCTATGGGCTCTTGACCTTGAGGTCCTTTGGCTACACAAGTTTCCAGGATGAAATTGCCCCTATGGGCGCTGCATTGTCCCACACTGGCTAAAATCCTACCATTTGCCAATGGTGTAGCCGTAGTTCGCGGACTTCCAAAAGGATTATGTAATACTTCGAGTGCAAGATTTGGCTCGTGCATGCATACCATCATTTTGCTGCCTTGCATGCAGGAATTTCGATAGTCCGGACGAACGTCCCTTGGCCCCGAGTGTTTGGGAACTGCCATTTGGTAGTGTCCCAAAATAAGGGGACCCCAATATAGACCCCAAAATACTAAAGTCCTTGTGATGGGAACCCCCAAAACGGTACCCCTAATTTTGGGAAACTGCCATTTTCCCGGGTTGACCCATTTTCGTCACGATCGTTCCTGAAGCGGAGATCAGACCACCAACCAAAGCCGCCACAGAAGCACGGCTCGGCGAAAAGCCGCGTTTATGCATCAGCATAGTATGAGCCATAGTCTAAACTCCTTAAAGGGGGGATATATAGGGGATACTATGGTACCCAATATTACCCCAATAATGGAGAATCAAATGGAAAAGAAAATGGAAAATGAAATGGAAGCTGGGATTATAGGGGTTAGTATGAGCTAATAGGGATAATGGAAAAGAAAATGGAAACTACAGGGATTATAGGGACTATATTGGGGTTATATAAGAATAATGGAAAAGAAAATGGAAACTACTATATTGGGGTTACATAGGAATAGTACTGATAGTCTAAACTCCTTAAAGGGGGTTATAGGGGACTACTATAGGGCCTATTAAGGAGGATACCAGGAGTTTAGACTATAGCTCGTATGGGCTTTTCCAGAAAAGGGTCCCTCCCGTGTATACCCACAATGCTACAGTCCTTCTTCTCATAGGGAGATGCCGAGCTGACGCCAAAAGTCTGGAATCCCCCCATATCGGCCAAAGAGATGGGAGGATACCCAAAGCCCCCAATCCCCCCTTAACTTTACACATTCCCTGAACCTAAATCTAAGGCTCATACCGAACCCTAAACCTAGGCTGTTCCTGCTGAACACCATAATATATGTCCATATATGCCTGAACCCGATGTAGTTTTTGAACAGGATAGTTTTCATTAGTGCCTCGACAATATTGAAGAAGGGTGTCCCTATACCTTTACAATCCCACGCAATCATCCTTACATAGCTCCTATACAACCCTTATATGATCCCTACATCATGAGTACATAATCCCAAACTCATCCTTATTTTATACACCCTATGTCATTCCTTTATGATACTAATATGGCGCTTATAACAACACTATATAACATCCTAAACCGAAACTGCAAACCCTAAACCCTTAACCTCCGCAACCCTAAACCCCTAAACCCCTAAACCCTATAAACCCTAAACCCCTAAACCCCTGGTTAAAGTGACCCCTGAAGCCTAGAAAGGAGGAGGCCGAATCCGCAGCTCTTCGCGCACGCCTTTCGGAGAAGCAGCCCCTGGGGCGCAGGGTCGCAGAGGGTGGAAAATGAAATGGAAACGGGTTTGGGGTTTAGGGTTTAGGGTCTAGGGTTTAGGGTGTTAGGGCTCAGAGTTTAGGGTTTGGGGTTTAGGGTTTGGGGTTTACCTAGACCCCCCAAGTACCCTAAACTAGGGTCCATGTAGCTTCTATTTGGGGATACTTAGGGTCTATAGAGGGTACTTGGGGGGTCTAGGTAGCATTTAGGGTTTAGGGTTTAGATGGCTTTGGGTTTAGGGTAAAAAGCTTGAGGCCTAGGGTTTAGGTTCAGACGGTGGTAGGGAAATGAAAAGAACATGGCAGCTACTATTTTATTCAGGGTTTAGGGATGTAGGAGTTCATGTAATCGGAGTCACGGAGAATTAAGTGAATGGACAAGAAGATACTGGAGTCATGTAGGGTTTCATTGTAGGGGCCTGCGCAGCTTCGTTCAGAGCTATGCGGACTGTATGGACCGGAGGCCATGTTGGGCTTTCATTGTCAGGCTTTTGACAGGCCAGTTACAACACAGTGTCACGGGCTGCCTAGGATACATCCAACTCTTGGGCCTGCGCTGAGATTGTGACGTCAGGCCTCAAGTGTAAGCCTTAATCTTAGACCCCGAAGCCTTAAACCTAAAAGTAAGATCCCTTAAATCCTGAACCTCTATCATATAAAACCTGAAGCTAAATTTTGAACCTCTAACCATTCTAAACCCTAAACCTCCAACTAACCCTAAATCTTCATCTTAGATCCTTAAACCCGTAACCCCTAAACCTTAAGTTTAGACCCCTAAACCTCTAAACCCGGGTCGCTGCCCAAACAAAGGCTTGGCCAGGAAAAGCAAAGCCAGGCCGGATATTGCTGCCTGGGGGGCTGAAGAGATTTTACAACGTATAATATATTGCGTCATAGCATCATAGAGCATAGTAGATTTTTGTATTTTTACATTAGATTTGCATATATCATACTATATTTCTATTCTTGCTGTCCTTGCTATGGGGCGCGGTCTTGCTTTAGGCGAATAGGAGGGGCGCTTCAATTTGAGAAGCAGCTGTGCGAGACTCCGCTCCCAAAGACCGCGGTGAGTACCAAGCATGCTTCATCCTATGAACAGTTGTCATCGGACTCATCTTTCCAGTGCTTGTCTGAAGCCCCCTGCGCCATTTCATTGTCGTCGATAAGGCTGTGACTGTGAAAGGGATACCGTACCGTGACCATATGCATTCCCCTCAAGGTCTTGTTTGAATTCGCGCAGCAGAATGCTAGTAGTATGATTTGATATGATTTGTGCGGAAGGGCCTGCATGTTGAAAAACTCCCAAGTTCCCTCAGCATCACAGCCGATAGCCCCTGAACCCCAAACACCTTGATCCTGGAGATTCCACTACGAAAGATGCAGCACGATTCTTGGACATGCGAGGCAATGCAGCACTGGTATCAGTCAGAAGAGCACCAGTTGGAGGCATGCCTGGCCAGCTCGAGAGTGTAGGCTACGGAAGAAGCCGTTTTCTGAAATCGTCGTGGAAAGAAGTGAAAGTTACCGGCACATTCCAACGACCTCACGCGCGCTAACCTTCAATGAAGATAGCAAATTGTCCCAGAATTGGCTTAATTGCAGGTTTTGAACTATGTAAATGGCGGGTTACAGGGTTTCTCCTCTTCTCGAAGGCTTTTTACAATAAGATTCCCTGGAGAGCAAGACAATCATGAGGCTGAAATTGCTTGAGCTTCCTTGGGGGTGGTGGGTCCCTGATGAAGCCGCAGCAGTGCATCTTTCAGCTAGCAGCAGCTTCTTGCTGAGGGATGCAATACATGAGGGTTTCCCAAGATCGACATATCGCCCTTGGGTCTGCCACACATCGGATTGGCCACGCTGGTTAGCTCAGGTGGCTCAACGTCAGCTGGATTTTGAAGAGAAGAACTTTAGTTTGGACCTCATCCGCGCATGGAGATTTGCAAAGGTTACGGGTCGCTACGCATGTATAAGAGGGAGTTTTGATGTTTGATTTTATTTGGTGTTAAAATTAGATGTCAAATTGGTCTTGATGACGCTTCAATTGGATTCGAGCAGGGGTTCAATTGGTCTGCATTTCGTGTTAGTTATTGG